TTCTTTTCCTTATGCTTTAACCTGAATATACAAAATATTCTAATGGCTAGTGAGTAATAGACAATGCGAGAATATAAGACTGTCGTTTGAACTCAACAACCCTAACCCAAAGCAAACTCCTCGTGTACCACGCTAAGAACCACACTTATATCGTGTAAGGGCTGATGATACTAGTCAGTTATCAAGGTTGAAGTAGGTGAAACGAGACATCAGCTGAAACTACGCCACATCGCCATACGAGAATAAAAAACCAATTTAGGAAGAACTTTAATCACTACAATCTGATTATAAGCATAAGAAACCCCGATCAAAACGATATTCAGTAAGTAATACTACAACTTTGTGGTTCCACCATATGACATAAACCAAACCAATACATCAGTAAAGATTGAAGTGATCACTAAAGCAATTCAATTTTCACAACACTTTACTGTCTTGTTTCTGAAGTATGGCGATTGGTCGAATTCTCTATATACATGGAGTCTATGGTGAATACCATTATGGGTAAATTTTGTTTAGATAAAGTCTCACAGTGTTATACAGTAATGTTTACTGATGATGGTTCGAGTACAATTTATTGCTCATAATCATATCAAAGTAATCATACGACTTCCTAACTTCATTTATATAGTTACATTGTTTTTCACTTGATTTGATTGGTAGTAGTATTTTCCATATTTCGGGTATGAGTGATGAATTATTCCTCGATGAACAAGGATTCAGTAACCAACCCCTCTCCACCTTCCTATATTACTTCTTAGAATTTTAACCCTATCCCACCCGATTGTGGGCTTGTAGGGTAATGCATGCAGTGAAATTGCTGAGCTTTTTTCTAAATTACTTATCTTCGCAGGTGAGGTCAACCATTCTTACCTTAGCTAAATTCTTATGTTCCGACAATATGATTACCCCCGATCTACTAATTTGACCTATATAGTTGACCTCACAGTCATTGCAAGGTATTTGGTAAATTATATTATTTCTTTAAATTGGGTCCACCTGGTCTTTCAGCCTACACAGCTTGTCTCTGAGTGAGTTTGTAGGTTTGAATGCCACCCTAATTCCTGCTTTAATTAGAATCCTACGTAGGGTTTCAGATGTCCCCTCCATATATGGTATAACAGTAGATGACTGATATTCTCTCTTATTTATGTTATCACTACTAGTTTCACGATTATTTTTATTTTGCTTCTGGCCTTTTTCAATCTTCCTGATGAACTTCAAAGGATAGTTATTCAACACCAACGCCTCTTCTGTCTGTTTTATTTCATCATTTAGGTCTTTTTTGTGCTACTTAGTGCTACTGCTCGGTTTGTTAAACACTTGACTAAGCCTGCCTCAACATTTAACGGATGAGACGAATTAAAGTGTAAACATCTATTAGAATGCGTTGGTTTTCTATAAACACTAGTGTGTAGTTTGCCTTCTTCTATTCGTTTTATTTTACAATCTAACATAGCTAATTCTCCTTGTTCATTTTCCGCTTCAAATGTGAATTTTATTCCCTCCACTAGTGAGTTGATGTGTGTCAAGAAGCTAGAGATATGTTCTGTTTTTAACACTGTGATATGATTATAAGCACTAAATTGTGCTCGAAACGTCATCAGTAAACATTACTGTATAAACACTATGAGACCTTATCAAAACAAAATTTACCCATAACGGAAAAGAAATTTCTCTCTTAACCTCTTTCTAAATCAATTTGTAAGGATTAGTGTGTGTGTGACTGTATAAAAATCAACAAAGTAAACTTTCGAATAAACCTTTATGTACTTTCTAGACCTATAATTTTGAAAATTATATCAAAGTCTTTCACATTTTCTAAAAGTGGCTGATGCACATCTTCATCAGCAAAAGCATACACTTGTGGTGAGAGCAGGCTGCTAGCCAAACTGGTAGACAATTGCTTACGTCAATGTTTATGTCCCAAATATTGGTCGTGAGAAAATATGAACATGACTGATTCAACAACCAATCACGCCAGACTTTGCGTAGGCAGATACAGTTAACATATAGATGACCTGATATTCAAGAAACAGTCACAAAGAGATGCAAGGTCAACTTTCTGTGAGAAACAACCAATCAGAAGAGTGTGTTTGTTTGCTTGAATAAGCTATAATAATGTACATGAGAATATATAAATACATGTTGATTTCCTTAATAAACGATCTGTTGCCTGACCCTTGTCTTCTGTTGTTACACACTCACTCACTCACTCTACTTATTAGTTGATTCAATTTGTGTGTTTAACTACTTAAATAGGTAGTTAACAACAATGGTAGATAAGTTCACACACAGGAAAAGATTTCGGTTAAACATTTTGTAGGTTAGCAACAACGACAACACATTAGCAGTTAGTTACATACATATATATGTATTCACACTATAACAATAACTCTGAATGCAAGGCGAAAACAATACGGACAAAAATTTTAAAAAAAACACCACTCAGAAAAACAAATAACAAGGTTAAGTAAGTAGGCTAGGCTAAGTGAACTTTAGAATACGTGATAAGGAACGCCAGCCCCCCCCCCGCACCGCCACTCTTTCAATTACTCCCCAAAAATAATTTGAAAAACAAGCGATAATAGCAACAACATTACCAATCAAGTAAGTGACATGATTGTTTGAAAATTTGAAATAATAAAACATTTGTAGTCGACGAATAAGGATTATTTTTTGGTAGTATTGTTTTCATTGTTTCACTTTTATATGAATTAATCACATCTTGTATTATTTATTGTCGAAAAGTAACCAAAACATATATATATAGGCAAAAAATAAGGCCATGAAATACTAGATTCATTGTAAGAGTTATTGTCTTTACATATCTAAGATCTTCTACATATTCTCTATTACTTGCATAAGAATGAATTCAACGAATGTTTTAAATAATTAAACACCAGTTTACTGATGAAATAAATGGCTTCATCACAATTGCATAAACACAACACAGTAAGCTAATGATAAAATAAAATCTAAAATTGAATTAACAATGAGTGTCATCTGTACCATAATGCATACATATCACTTTGGAGGAAATACTGCTAACTGTTTCCAAACACACAACACAATGGAGGGCCTACTCGCCTAGTGGCCATACTGCAAACTTGACTCATCGAATTCAGTCGACATCATAATCACATATCACTCTAGAAAGACGATATTAGTTGTGCCCCAATGATCAATCGATGTATCAGACGTGTGTTCGAGGGAAATCTATTGCACACTATTCATACACATATCAAGCGTCGAATTCTTTCAGCTGTAGAAGTACGAAACGTGTCGCAATTTTTCTCCATAAAGTAGACCACTTGACACAGCTGAATTTCTTCACTTAGATAGATAGATTCTACATAAGTGCGAAATTTAGGGATGATTAAAGAGGTGTTGATGAATTTTTCCAACTACCAACTACTCAAAGTCTTCAATTTTTAACCACTGAAAGATGAGAATTTTCCGAAATCTAAAAAAAATTATGCACCTCAGAAACCCCTTTATAGTTTGTGCAACAGACAGCGAGACACATCTATTGTGAGCGACCTGACAACAAAAACTGACTGCCTATCCCCCTAAGGATAAAAGTAGATTTGATAAACAAGCAGGGAGTCATTTACACTCACATATACATAAAAAATGATCCCTATCAAGATTAGTTTACAGTAAATCACTTTCAATATGAAAGTGCCACATAAAGTCCCACGATTTCCATGAATATTTAATAATTACAAGTGCTTATCTGACTACCATCGCATCTAAGATCATCGCATTTTACAATCAGCTCTTATCTAATAACTTGGAGGATCTGGACTTCGCCGATGATATATGTCTGATTTCCCACAAACTGGGAGATATGCAAGTGAAGAGCAACAAGTTGGTAGAAGGAGCATCCAGAGAAGATAGGACTTCAGATGAACATAGAGAAAACAGAGGTGATGAAGATTCCTGGCCAACACCAACGGTAGCAACAACAACAGACAACAATCAGCCAGCATAAATGGGAGGAACCTGAGAGAAACAACCTCCTTCACCTGCCTACCTGGGAAGCATCGCTTCAATTACAGCCAGAATCGGAAAAGCAGGACAAGCTTTCATTACTCTGAAGTCTGTATGGAGGTCAACAGCACTCAGCATGAAAATGAAAATAAGATCCGGATTTTCAACTCCAATGTGAAGTCAGTGCTACTCACTATACGGATCAGAGATTTGGTGCGTCACAAAGAGCACCTCAAATAAACTACAGACCTTCATTAACAGTTGTCTTTGCTCAATACTCAAGATCAGTAAAGATCAGCAACAGGGATCTCTGGGAGCGAACCAACCCAGCAGGAACCGATTGTGAAACAAATAAGCAGGAAGAAATAGAGATGGGTTGACCATACTCTGAGGAAACCATCAAGTAACATCACTAGACAAGCCCTCCAGTGGAAGCCGAAAGAGAAGCGGCGAGTTGGTCTTTCAAGGGTGACTTGGAGGAGGTCATGTGAAGAGGAAATGAAAGCATGTGGGCAGACTGGGAGCGGGGTGAAAAAGTTGACAGAAAACCGAAGGCAATGGAGACGCGTGGCTGAAGCCCTATGTTCCTTTAGGAATTAAAGGAAATAATAATAATGATCTTATCTAATAACGAGTTAACCCAGTAAAATGTAGAAGCAGAATCGTCCACAAGTTTTCAATGTACTGTCTTCAACTTAACCGCAGAAACTCCCAGTGAATTCAAATAAAATATTGATTTACTAACTATTAACAAAGGAGACTTTTAGTGGTACTGTCGCAGAAAGTTGAAAAACACCTACTGTAAAGAAACTAAGGGTTCGAAAGGTAACATATTTGCCTCATAACTCAAATTTTGAATATCATCCTTTGTAGTGTAATCGAGAGTTTCATCAGTTTTCCCACCAGTGAATATGTATATTGTATATAACTTCTACAGTTCCCTATCAAACATGGCATATTTTTTGCATGATATGCACAATAAAAACACCAGCACTTTTACTAACCTTCGATTGACTTTCTTTCCATTCTGTTAAAAATTTAGCTGATTCCGGTGGCCTCATCTTCACCAATACCTCGGCTGGAAGATAAGAATTGGTTTCCCATAGGCTTAAAACACGGTTGATTTTAGCTTTTTGTTCATCATCTGCTATTTCAGTTGCTAAGCAAAATATGATTGGTACTGTTTCTTGTAAAGCTTCCTGTGTAAAAAAGTATTACAGAAATATGAAGTATATGTTGTACAATTTTTTATTGTAGAAGAAATTTACACCATATTTAGCGTTTAATATTTTATACATATAAATGCTTAAGCGTCGGTGGCACAGTGGTTAGGACGCTTGCCGACCATGCACATGGTCCGGGGTTCGATCCCCGGCCACAGACACACTCCTTTACCTCGCTAGTACAGAAATAATGCTGGTAAAGAGGAAAGGTTGGGCATGAGGCTAGCAACCCCATCTTGTAAAATTAAAAACACTGCTACAGAAACTTCAAGCCACTAGCTTGAGGCCCTGTGTTCCACTGGGAACTTGAAGTAAAAAAACAAAAAAGCAAATAAATGATTAATGTCAATCGATAAAGTGGTATCAATGAAATGTAAAATTTCGTGTCAAAAAGTGGCAGTTCTGTTTCAAACAAATGATGTATTGAAAATATCGTACCTTAAAGGGATTTTATAGCTACCGTGTTTACAACGATCCACTAGCAACCTATGTGTGTCAGCCTGCTACCCAACTGCTGCACTGGCCAGTAAAACAACTACCTTAGGAAAGCTGACTAGCTTCAACACAGAACTTTGCACACATGTAGAGCAGTTTAAGTTGTCACACTCCCTCCATGTAGCAGACAAAAGAGAGTAAAAAGAGACTTGAAAGAACGATAACAAGCAGAAATGTGAGGGAGAAAGAATTGTAACATGGAAAAACGATAGAGTTCTAATCGATTTGGGAGATCACAAAGGATGAATACATCTACGCCACCGACAATGACTTTGAGCCATATCACCAATTGTCTCAAGATATTGGTTCTTAAAATGCCGAGGACGTCAAGCAGACAGCCTACATCTCCCTACGTGGCTCAAACTAATTGTCAAAGACCTTATGAACTCCATTATGGATAAGATTTGATTTTGATAAATCACACTGTGTTACAAAATAATATTAACTGATGACGTTTCGAGCACAAATTACTCACACTTTTTTTCTTCATTTGTATATATGTGTGGAATTGACTAGATATTTGAATAAAAATCAATATGGGATAATATACATTCAGAAATAATAATATGAGTGTTATCAATGAAGTACAATCAGATGGGAAATAAGACGAGTGTTTTTATGGTCAAAATAAGTAACCTGTTAGAATGTTATGATGTACATGAATTGAAACAGAATTTTAAGATTATTTATCATCATCCCCTGATTTGACCGACAGTAATAATATCTTCCTGGTATTTGCATTGAGTCATTTCTGTTGCATGTGTTGGGTGTAAACTTAATAAACCAGGATTCAGTAGTCGATTTCCCTCTCCACCTACATGGATTACTTCTTAGAATTTTAACCCTATCCCACCCGATTGTGGGCTTGTAGGGTAATGCATGCAGTGAAATTGCTGAGCTTTTTTCTAAATTACTTATCTTCGCAGGTGAGGTCAACCATTCTTACCTTAGCTAAATTCTTATGTTCCGACAATATGATTACCCCCGATCTACTAATTTGACCTATATAGTTGACCTCACAGTCATTGCAAGGTATTTGGTAAATTATATTATTTCTTTAAATTGGGTCCACCTGGTCTTTCAGCCTACACAGCTTGTCTCTGAGTGAGTTTGTAGGTTTGAATGCCACCCTAATTCCTGCTTTAATTAGAATCCTACGTAGGGTTTCAGATGTCCCCTCCATATATGGTATAACAGTAGATGACTGATATTCTCTCTTATTTATGTTATCACTACTAGTTTCACGATTATTTTTATTTTGCTTCTGGCCTTTTTCAATCTTCCTGATGAACTTCAAAGGATAGTTATTCAACACCAACGCCTCTTCTGTCTGTTTTATTTCATCATTTAGGTCTTTTCTGATGCTATATTCTGGTTTGATCAACACTAGCTCTTCCCCGACCTAATCCCAAGTCGGCTAACACTACTCATCCAGGAAGGCGATGACTAAGTTATGTGTAACACATGTCCCATCCATCTCGATCTATGTAACTTCACAAACGCGTCGATTGACTTTCTTTCCTTACCTAACACTCGATGCCTAACCTCTCCTTTTTTTTCATGTCTTCCAATTTCATTGCCCGTTTCACAGGACGGAGCGAACTGCTGCGCAGTACACACATAGTTTGATCGACAGACAGGTATCACGTCTACCCCAGAGATGGAGTATGTTGGCGAGTACCAAACGAGCCTTCTGTATCCGTGCTGAGATTTCATCGACGATCAACCCACTGGAGCTGATGCAACTTCCCAAATAAGTGAAGTGGTCAACACGTTCTACCACTTCACTCCCTATCTTTTAGCTAAGAGTCAATGTAGTCCAGTTCTGTAGCGTCATTTTATATTTTACAGACCCGCATCGCATGCCAAACATTCGAAAGTTGCTGCCCAAAGTGTTTATAAAACTCCGCATTCTATTAGCGTCTTCACCTAGAGCCATATTCGTGAAAACTGGTAGTAAAACTTTCTTGTTTAAACTTTAATAAGTATATCAGGCTTCCCTAAATGCCCCTGAGTAGAAGAAAAGAATTCAATTGCCTATACTAATCGAAAACAGTTCTACTAAATCAGTCGAAAATTCACCAATCGGAATCACATATCAGTATTGAAAATATGTTTCACGCACAATCCAACAGAAAACTAAAGCTCATATTACTTGTGAAGATGGATTTCAACTTGATTCAAGACAAAAGTGCACTGATAAAAAGATGTATGAACAACTAAAAAGAAATAAATCATAACAAAAACACTACTTAAGTTGCATTCAAATGGAAACAGGCACATTTAGATGACTGGAGGATTTCATCATTAGCTGACATCAGTTAAAGAACTATCGGGAAACCTGGGAATACTGAACATCTGTTTCACCCTAGTTTGGGACTCCCCAACAGTACGCACCCACCACATGGGTTCAAATCCTGGACCTTCTGATTACAAGGCGAAATGGTGAATTGGCAGAAGTTAGAATTCATGAACTGGCCAATGAATCGGGTCCCAGTGGCTTAATGGTCTACAAGCTCGCTAGCCTTGTAACCAGAAGGTCCTGGGTTCGAACCCCTGTGGTGGGTGATGAGTGGTGCCAAACTAGAATGAAACAGCTGACCAGCACTCCCAATTTTTCCAATGGCTGTGTAACTGATATCAGCTCATGATGAAATCCTCCAACCAATCAGACAAAACCAATACTTGAAAACAATGAAATGAATTTCCCTAATTCATACATCAATTACACTTTATCAATTAAAAAGTAATATATGAAAACAGTTGAATAAATTTAAACTAGCCGCACAATACATTTTAGGCATTCAACATAAACATACCTGTAAATGAGCGGGAGCACCACGACGTTTCGAATGATGAAGTAAATCATTCAGTAGGTAGACTAAGTGTAGTCTTAAATCAAATGAAACATGGGCGGCACTAGCACGAGCTATTAAATAGTCAGACATTAACTTAGTCAATTCAGGTGACTCAGTCATTTTATCAACAATCCAAGATTTTCCTTTTGATATATTTTCTTTTGTACATGCCTCGATAAGTGGCTGAATCATCTAAAAACAAATAAAAAATTAGCAAATAGTTAGTTCCATTTAACAAGCATGCAGTGCCAAAAAGTGAGTACATTACAGCACAACAAAGCAACATTTTGATTATTATAATTTTCACTTTTTTAAATCTGATTAGCTGATTACATGCATTATTCCTCAAGCTAACAAATTCCACTAAGATAATAGTCTGATGTGCTATGTGGAAAACTTTTGTAGTGCACAGTTGTTTCACGGATGCATTTCAGTTCTATGAAATAAATGACAATACGAGCAAGTAATTTTCTCGGCTGATTTCTATGACACTAATAACTTGTTTGTTTATATGGAATGTGATTTCGATCCCAATGAAAGATTTTTAAATGTTCCTTCAATTAAGACGATCAATACCCACAAATCTGACTGCATCGATCCACTCAGGCTTAGTTTTCCCAATCTTTAATCCACAAAAAGTCATTTAAAATTTGGAACTATCTGTCACCTAATACAAGGTAACAATCATGTCTGTCGAAAAGAAAGGTAGAGTGGGCCATTGAGCAGAATGCAAAGCCTTCACTGGATTGAAACATACCTGCTCCAAAGGTCACATCAATACCAAACGAGACTCCTGTATTACTTTTGAGGTTACTTCAGTAACCAGTTTACTAAGACTGTCACAAAGTGCTAAGTAACTGGAGTAATCAGTGCATCCAACTATCTAACTCTAAATCCTCAAATCAGAAGTCTATATACACCAATTCTCTCACACCTCTATAGCTTGTAAAATAATTAATGTCACCTAAAGTTACTAAAAACGAAGACAAGTATTGTTATTATTATTGTTCCCTTGGGTTCCGAGTGGAACATAAGACTTCAACAACACATCTCCACTTTGTTCTGTTTTCTGTCGTTCTCTTCAGCTAGGTCCACGATTGTCCATAATCTCTCATCTCTTACTCTCAAGATCTCCTTCATGTCACCCTTACACCGACGACACACGTCGTTTCCTATTCGGATTGCAGCACTCGAGCGATGACCTGCATTCCACGCGATGTCACTCGATGGCCTCCCCCTCAGAGTATGCTCAATCCATCTGCATTTTCTTCTACAGATCTGTTGAGCAATCGACTCTTGATTTGTTTTGTTGCCAGAGTTCGTTGTTGCTAATTTTTTCTGACCGGCCGTTTGATCTTCAGTATGTAGCCGGTGACGGCATTTGTTGACCAAAGTCTGGCGCGCCTGTTCGAAATGCTTTCCGTGGCCCAATACAAAAGAACTGATTTCACATTTATGTTGAAAATCCGAATCTTGTTCTTTCCTCTGACTGGGTGCAGAAGATTTCCAAACTGATTTCAGATTGGTGAAGGCGTATCTTACCTTTCCCATTTTCGCTTTAGCGCCTTTATCCGTGCTATCCCCACCTGTGGTTGAAACCGTTCTTCTTAGATAAGTGAAGGAAGTAACCTCTTTCAAACTCCTCCCGTCGATGGTGATCGGTGCTAGTTGGCGTTGATGTTGGTTGGTTATCTTCATCACCTCCGACAAGGGGAAGGACGAACTGCAAGTGATTGATCACACTTACTAAAAATACAAACTGACTGGAATAATAGGCATCGGGTAACTATCATCTACGAAAAATTAGGAAATTATATGATAACCGGTATGGACTTTTACTCCTGTAGGACCTACACAGCTTCTCGAAATTCCCAATAAAACTACACGTGCTATCATTATCAGCTTTCGAAAGTGAGTAAGGGATATTGTACATCATTTAAAATAATCTCCAGATATCCAATAAACTTAGTTGGAAACAATAAGAACGTATTTTTTAACTTCCAACTTCCCAAAAGGTTGGCGAATCTAGGCAAAATTAGTTCGATTAAATAACTCACAATTATATGAAGTTTTCAACACATTAAATTGGTAAATCCTCTTTAGGTCAGAATCATAAATGCATACTAGTATTTCATGATGTTTTATTCCACTCGGAAGTGTCCTCCGCTGTCTAATATTGGTTTCTATCCAAACGTCATGTGAGACAATTAATGCTAGCCTATGATACCTCGATACATGGGATCGTACCACTGAATGCAAGCTTATAACGAACTTATTAAATTACCAAGATGAATAGTGCTATTCAAGAGTGTATTCTCCCTTAATATCGCTATGCTAAAATACCTAGTCGGCTGGCTCAATAAATATGAAGATACAGTTCAAATTACATGAGTAACGACTTACTACACACTTTCATCCAATGGGTTCCGGACCTACTGCAGCCTGGACGACTGGAGATTTCAATCAGCCCTCACAATAAATGTGACTCAAAAAAGGACATGAAAGACTTGAATACAAACAAACACACCTTTACTATTGACACAGAAATCACTGAATTTGACTAGTGAAGCATAGACGATGTTGAGTCAACTGCTTGACGTTGAGAAATGTTTGTAACCACCTCTAACCACCTGATATTTAGTGAAATGTCGCATAAGCAGCTATCCAACACTAGTAGTGACAAGATATATGTGCATCTATGATACTCTTGATGTGTATTTGGTCTATGGATTGTCAATCGCTTGACTGCAGCATTTAAAAAGTAACAGGACGAATTTAAGTGTGGATACACCCATGACATAAAACTTAACTACATTGAAATATGAGTAACAAGCAAAAAGAGATTAGATATCCTAAGTGTCTGTGAAAATACACGATATTAACACTGACTAATAAAGTCAACAAACATGACTTTTATGTGATTAATTGCAAACAGATAACTCACTTCATTCATTTGCTCCCAAGATATGTTCAGTTTCTCCCCTGCCTTTCGAACATTTTCTTCCCTTTTCTTATCCAAAAGTTCATGAATTTCAACTTCTTGACGCGCAAGCAATGATTCATGCTGGGCAGCCAGATTCTTCTCACTTTGTTCAATATCAGCCTCCCCTAATTCAGAACTATTCGAAGCTTGATACTCGTATGATCCTGATGCGTGATAAGACTCTGGTCCAAACGAATACTGCTGTGGGGGGAAGGCACCATGTTGTCCTGGATAGCCATATTGAGGAGGATTGTTGAAGTTCCCGTGATTATAGGAATCCATTGCATTGGGAGGTGGATGAAACGGAAATGCAGGAGGACAACCAGGCATACGCATACCGTGCTGGTAAGGCCACTGTGGTTTTGGATACCAAGTGGGATCAGGACCACCCCAACCACAATGCCCTTGTGGAGCCACACTAAAACGTTGCCAGTGTTCGGCACCACCGCTATACTGATCCCATTGGTCATTCATATTAACCCGATTGTTTCTACGATCAAAAGGCTTAATGAAAGAAAAAGAACAAAATGCAATTCAAAAAATCTATTCACTGTTTGATAACACAAATCATAGTAAAATGGAACTTTTATTTAACCTTACCTTCATATCAAACAAGCCAATGTGCTTGTGACATCAGAGCAAATGAAAAACACTTTCATCGCATGAACGAATGCCTTGACATTAAATGCATACCGCCTTAAATATATGAGAAGAGTATCTACTTCGGAAGAACAAAAGAGTACTCAGATACTAAATTACAACCCCTAAATATGTTGGCACTCACAAGCTATTGAATACGCGCTTTCACAAAGAGACCAATTATTGCACGTTTCGTGAAATATAACAGATTAACGGTATTAGTAGTCAAAACACTTCGGAACATTCTTTTGGAAATAAAGTGTGGATTCAATAAAGGATTAAGTGAGTACGATAAATCAATTTTAATAAAACCCACTAATCATTTCCATATGAAGACAATTGCTCAAGACAGAAAAGGAATCCACCTTCAAAAGGAAATATGAGACATACACAAATATCCCTAATCACATGTTAACAGTTCAGAAACAGTCATAAGTATTGAGTCAATTTAGTAAGCGCAGGAAGTAAATTTATAGGATATAATCGTCAGAGCACCTTCAGATTTAATGATAGCGAAAACTTTTTCCCTGAAATTGTGTTCTAACATTCAGACAGGAAGACACTTAACATAAGAGTCCTAGACTAACTAACTAACATATACTAACATAAAAAGAAAGATTAAAAGACAAAAGATGAATACATAATGTTAATATAATTTAGCTAAGTGCATAAACAGTCTACCACATTACTGGTTCTAAGACCCACTATTTAAGCCATCATTTGTAATTATTTTATATTTTTAGCTGTATAATAGAAGAGAAGCTGGGTCAATTACAAAAGTATATTGGTGACATACATGAAGTCTCATACCGAGGGACCGACAACATTGGGCGTCTTTTTCAATTCTGGTTGGACAATCATCTGTTCCTAGTCACCAATAATTTTACACACATGGAAAAAGTGTGTCATCTGGCAGTTTCCACCAAATCAACAGGACAGTAATAGTCCATGTCTCTGCCGGTTGAAAGGGTAGATGGAAGACTGCCACTCTCCGTGGAACACCTGCATAGACTGCTATAATGATCTGGTAGGTACACGTTTATGTCCATGACTGAACAGACATAGAAAACAGTCAGCTACGAAGTCTCCAAGCCCCCAACTTGGTGAGAACACTGTCTTTGTTTGTGGAAGAAATAATCGAACGCATAGCTGAGACTGTTAGTATGACTCTCCCTGAGGAGGCTGATGTCTGTCGGTCTGTCTGTTTTCGACATAGAACTTTGCACAAATGTGCGGAAGTTCAAGTCGCCACATTCCGTGTAGCACGCGAAGCAAGAGAAGAAAGTACAAGAAAAGCATAATAGAAACAGTGAGCAGAGGTGTGAGACAAAGGAGTAATAAAGAAATACAAAACAGTTTCATTGAAGATCATAAGTCACAGGGAGTGGATGCATCTGCGCCACTGAGAACGATTTTGAGCCATGTCACCAATTGTTTCCAACCATAGATTTTTACCGTCCCGAGGACCCCAGCCTGGAAGTCTACACCTTCCTACGTGGCTTAGACCAACTGTTGTGGATTTCATTGACTGATGCCAAGTTTTTGTTTGACCGCCGCTAGCTTTTTTCCAGCCTGACCCTATATCCGCTAACATTGCTCGTCGAGGGAGGCGATGGCTTGGCATACGTAACACATGTCCTAACCATCTCAGTCTTTGTAGCTTCACGACTTCGTCGATTGATTTCCCCTGTTTACCTAGAACTCTACGCCTAACCTCCATGTTGCTCACCTTATTATGCCACTTTACACGGGAAATAGAACGCAGGCACCTATGATCAAAGACAGCTAGTCTTTTCATGTCTTCCACTCTCAGTGGCCAGGTCTCACAACCATAAAGGAGGACGGAGCGGACTGATGAGCAGTACACCCGCCCTTTGGTCGATAGTCGAACATCTCGTCTACGCCAGAGTCGGCGTAAACTAACAAATGCGAAACGAGCCCCTTGTATTCGTGCTGAGATTTCGTCAGAGATCAGCCCGTTGGGGCTGATGGTACTTCCCAAATAAGTGAAGCGGTCAACGTGCTCTACCACTTCACTTCCTATTTTTAAACTAGGCGTCGATGTAGTCCAGTCCTGTAACATCATCTTGCATTTGGCGGGAGCGAATCGCATGCCAAACATTCGTAGATTGCGGCTCAAGGTGTTTAGAAGACTCTGCATTTCGTCAGCGTCTTCGCCTAGAAGGACTATATCGTCTGCATATTCCAAGTCAACGAGATTATTCCCGGTAGCAAGTCAATCCCTGAGTCGCTGAAGTCACCTAGGGTTAAGTCCATTAACACATCTATGATGAAGTTGAATAGAAAAGGAGATAATGGGCATCCTTGACGGACACCACTGGTCGTCATCAGTTCAGATGACAGCTCGCCGTAAGCCCTCACCTGGCTGTATGAGTACGAGTAGAGTGCCTTAATCAGTGCAATATATTTTCTCGGAATTCCCTTTACAGCCAAGCATCTCCAGAGAACTTCCCGATCGACAGAGTCGAATGCTGCCTTTAGGTCAAGAAATATAATGACTGTTGGACGCCGGTAGGAATGCCTATGTTCTAGAATCTGTCGGAGGGTGAAGATATGATCAATACACCCTCTTCCTGGTCTAAAGCCTGCCTGGCTCTCTCGTGTTTGTGCTTCCCGAGCACCACTCAGTCTACGCATGATTATTGAGCCTAAGACTTTAGATACTATATTAGTCAAGCTAATCCCTCTGTGATTATCACAGGAAGACTTGTCTCCCTTCTTGTATATGGGGATAATCAGTGACTTACACCAACCCGATGGGACTTCTTCTGATTCCCAGACGCTGCCTAGTACCTCAGTTAATCCGGACAGTAAGCTGTCTCCACCGTACTTAAATACCTCTGGAGTCATTCCATCAGGTCCCGCTGCTTTGCCTAGTTTCAGATTGGTGACAGCTTTAGTAACCTCAGTTAGTGACGGAGGACCTGTGTCTATATCCCATTCAGGGAGGTGTTGGATGCTCGGAAGGTTGAGCGTGGCTGTGGGCAAATTAAACTGCTCCTCATAATGCTCTTTCCAACGATCCAGTCGTCTATCCTGGGAGCTAATTATAGTGCCATTTTTTTCCGAGATTGTCTCACTGATGATTTGTCTTCTCCCACCCGTTTCCCTGATGAGTCCAAAGAGTTGCCTGGTGTTGCCTATCCTCGAAGCTTTCTCCATCTCTTTGGCTTTTGTCGCCCACCACTGTTCACGGTCCTTGCGGAGACTTTTCGTAAGTTTCCTCTTGTGCAGCTTTCGCTCCTCATTGAATTCGGAGCTCGCCGGAATAAGTCTTCTAGCATCTATCAGTTCGGATGAGGCGGTGGAGATCCAGTGGTTTTTACTCACCTTTGGGTTTACCTTATTCACAGCTTTTACAGCTGTATCTATGGCTGCCTGGATATTTTTCCAAGCTTCTTCAGGGTGAGCACAGCTGTCGAACACAGATATGTGTTTAGCTAGTTCTTCCTGAAATACGGATTTAGTTTCCTGATCGAGCTGGGGACGTGATGGTTTTACCGCCAGCTGTTTCCTACGTCCGTTCAGTCGTAAGCACACCCGAGCGCGGACCAGTGCATGGTCGGTATCTACGCACGTGTTCCAGAAGGAGCGACAATCTCCTACCGACCCACGCCAACGATAGCTTATTGCTATGTGGTCTATTTGTGTCCAGCGTTGGTTTGATGAAGGGGGTCTCCAAGTCAAACAGTGTCTCTCCTTGTGTTTGAAGTTAGTGCTTACAAGAAACAAATGATTATCAGAGCAGAACTGTAGGAGACGGTCACCGTTGTCGGTTCGCTGGCACGGAACTCCATAGGTGCCACCGACATCCTTCTCAGATTGACACAATTTCCCTACTTGAGCGTTAAAGTCACCAGCTAGAACGACTATGTCTGAGCGTTTAGCCTTTCTCACCAAACTAGACAGCTTTTGGTAGAACTCATCCTTCGTTTCATCTGAACTGCAGTCAGTGGGGGCGTAGGCGGAGATTACGAAAAGGCATCGGCGAGTAGTGCAGTCCTTCCTCCTTCTTACTGATCCGTTCAGGCGGACAGCACACATTCGGCTATCTACCGGGATCCAGTCAAGCAATGTCTTTTCTGCCCTAGTACTCAAAGCTATCCCTACGCCAGCTAATCCTCGTGAACTAGCTGTGGCATCTCCTGACACCCTCAAGGTGAATTTTGCAGATTCAACCTGTTGGCCAGGTGGGGTTAGGTGAATAACCACACTTGGGTCTTGTATGCGTGTTTCTGAAACACAGCATACATCAATGGCTCGTGATGCCAGGGTCTTGGCTAGTGATGCTTGTTGTCCTATTTGGCAAAGTGTCCTAACATTAAGAGCTCCTATATGAAATTGGTGGCGCGGCTTTAAGAGGCTGTCGGTGGTGGTTTTTTGGCTTCCATCGTTTTTAGTGGACGCAGAGTGGAGAGGAAGTGGAGAGCTATCAAGTCGAGGAGTTGCATCAGTGGAAGGAAGGCAAGATGATAGAGATGAAGATGAAGACAAAGATGAGTGAGTAATAGAGAGGTTTCGCGTGCGTTTCGGATGTTCGGATGTTGATGTAATATCTATTCAACTGTAGAAACAGCGATAAAGGCTGTAGATTTCTCGTCCAAACTGGTAGATGAGAAGAGGCTTATTTCGGTGATTTCTGGGCACGATGAGGAGCAAAATATGCACAAATGCAAGCTGACTGAAAGTTCCTCTAACAACCGTAAACATCGGTGGGCAATGGAAGCCAAACAGACGGAGAAGAGATCAGCTGTAGATAACACCTGATAACCGTTTGGACGCATCAGAGAAACTGGGTTGTAAACTTCCAGTGATAAGAGCAACAGTTTCCAAGGACGGTGCTCTAATTATCTCAGGTAATATCTCAGAAACCAAGACATTCAACTCAAACTAATGCAGCCAACTAAGAGCTTATGGAAATTTATCACCTACAGTAGAGATAACCAACCAGTCACTTCAGTCAATACTGCTTCATAAACTTATCGATTAACATACCCTTGTCATCTAACACTATGGAGTAACTCAATATTACTGATAATGTCATGTCGCTTTACATGAGAGTGAAAACGTTCATACGGCTAGTTTTTTTATATTTACAACCCTTTGCGGCCACCAACCAAGAGCTTAGCTTTATCAGTAACATTATACTGGAATGATATAACTCCGTAGATGATGTAAAGAAGGGAGTAGGTTGCTGTGCAGTACACACATCCTCTGGTCGACAAGCAGATATAACGTCTGCGACAGAGATGACGGAAGTATGCAAACGCCGAACGAGCCTCCAGTATACGAGCTAAGATTTTGTCAGTAATCATGCAACTTCGAAAATCAAGTACAGTGGTCCACAGGTTCAATCACTTCACTCATTTTCCTGAAACTAGGAGTCCTGTAGCACTCACTAATGTTAAAAGGATAACGCAGACTATTCCAAATGCAGCACTTAGTTTATGAAAAGAATGTGATTTGTGATGAAATTTTAAAAAATGCAGAAACTATGGTGACCAAGAACAATCACCGACTAAGTTAATTAACGATGAAAGTGCAGGGGTTGCAACACTGGAAGAGAACACAATATTTTTAGTAGACCTAAAGACAAGCTTCTCCACATCATGATAGATTTAAAACCAATCTATTGAATAATGATGTCTATCATTCCAAAACACGGTCAAGTTAGACTTTAAGCACCAGTAAGTATCAATGGAGATCACCCCAGTAACCTTGAAACTCTCAGAGAATAGGTTAGTGAAACCTGGCAAATACTATTGTAGGCATAAAATATGTTTAAGGAAATGTTATTTTATTACATTGGATATTTGGCAAAATTCAGGTCAGGTTTGGAAAAGATTACGTTATGGTTAGGATTAAGGATAGGTTAGGATTAGGTTAACCTAATGAGGGAGACATTAGGGTTGGTTCAAGTTAGATTATGATTGGTTTACGGGTATTTTCAGGTTAGGGTTAGGTTAATAAAAACGAGGATAATTGTTAGTATTAGAAGACAGAGATAATTGCGTTCATAGAGTTTGGTTAAATTACTCCAATCCGAAACTGAGACTTATTTCTGTCATACGCCAGAATAGGGTATCCTATGTAACAGTTTTACGCCTTTCAATTCATTACTTCCATGAATATATGTACTTATGCGCAACAATCGCCTTTAACATGTGGTTGGTGTGTTCAAGGTCATCTATCCATTGGTACTTACTGGTGCTTAAAGTGTAACTTCGCCCGAAACATGCTCCCATATCTCTAAACTAGATAAGCGATAACGTGAATACTGGGAATACTAACGCTACACTGTTAGCATATCTATCAACATAAAATCTAAATCTTAATTTCGAGGTATAGATGCATTTTAAAAACGCATATCCCGAGATCGTCAGCATACTAATTTCGCGAATAATGAACACGGGTAAACGACACGAATTTAGAGGTAAAAGATTAAAACTAAAAGGCTTTAACTTAGGGACATTCATGAAATACCATCCCTGATATCTTGAAAATTCCACATCAACCACATTATTCATGCATTACAAACCACAAAAAATCCTAACACATATTATCAAAAAGTATTACTCCAACCTGAAGAGATTTATCTTTCATTGAATACTGCTGCTGCCAGACTTTAAGAGCTTCGTTTACTCTATACAAGTAGTATTCACGGTACTCGCCACCCCGGAGAAATGCGAACTTCGGGTTGTCCCTCTGTTTTTCACTTGTTAGTGCTTCGAATTCTGGCCCATTCCTAGCCACAAATTCGGCCAATTTATCAATAATGTTCTGTTGTTCTGTGTCGACTGGAGGCAAAGGTGTCGCCATCTGGTTGCAACAGTTACAGTTCTTCAATAATTAGTATCTATGCCTAAGCTTCCAGTTGAGACATGTACATCAATTTAATAAAATTTCAGCGTTTGTTTGAAGCAGAAAGTTAACAGAAAGACTTGTAGCAAGTGATTACAGTTCCACTAAACTAACTTTATAAAGACACGTAACAGTTTATATTAGCCGCCTTCAGTTAGTATGTGAGTGGTTGTGTAGACAATTTAGTAGACATGAGACCCGAATTTCTATTTGAGGTTACAGGTTTACAACCTAGCGTTAATCTTTTTCTTCGAAAAGTTCAATGATGGCTCAGGTACCACTTCATCTGGAGCCAAAATTTGATAATTATGAATTCTGTGACAGTACTGGTACTCCAAGTTGTATTGAAAACTCGTGCTTTGTTTTCTGAGATATTTGAGCCCAGTAGAAAGAGGAAGGGAAGACAGATAAGGTCCATAGAAATTCTTCGCAACTGCAGATGGGATGATCAGGTATCTTCCTTGCCCATAATATGATAAGGAGATGAAAGCACACGAAAGACTTTGAGAAAGTGGCTGATTTCCTGAATTAAGCTTTTTAGTCCACAAATTACCGGTGACGCGACTAAGAGTAAGTAAAACCCGTTCCAACCTAAAGAGTGCATATCCTTATTTCCGTGTATTGACTGTGAGTGCCCCTGTTTCACACCCCTTCTGTAGCCTTTCTAGGTTTTTCAGAATGGCAGAGGTAAAATCTATTTGACTTGGTTAAGACATATTCACTACTTCCAACTCATCTGCGAATACAAAAAGAAGCAGGTACATTCATCCTTCATATTCATAATAAACACAAAAGCCTTAGGATTGATCCCTAGCTTACCTCGTTAGTAAAATTTTCAGAGTGGGAAAAGTGTCAGCCTACTTATACAGTTTGAGTTCTGTTAATGTAGAACGCGGCTAGCCACTTCTTTCGAAGGATTTTAATTTGCGGAGTAGTAAGGGGTCATGATCTTCATCAAACGCCATATTGAAATGGAAATCATGAACTAAAACCACTTCTATGTCATCTCTACTGTTCGTTATATATATATATATATATATATATATATATATATATCAAGTAGCAGTAAATGCAAGACATTTTCGACAAGAATCAATCTTGCAATTCACTGATAGGAGTATGTTGGGGCAGGCGAGAATCGATACTTTCCACAACCTTTTCCATATCTCACAGGAGTGCAGCAATTATATTTGCAGAGCGTAATATATAGGACTAAGTCTAGAACCCTTCTTGAAGTGTGGAATTAAATGGCTGGTGTTCCAATAAGTTGGGTAGGTTCCTGATTTCATGAACACATTAAAAACTTTGGGCATCAGTGTAGGAAAATCAGTGCTACCATCTACTCCTCTTATACTAGAGGGCTTAAGACATTTTATCACTTCAAATACGTTGTTCAGATTAAACTCAACTACTGAGAATTAATGAACATTTCCTTCTGTTACTGTGGTGACTTGGTGGCTGGTATTGGTAAAGGACCTCAAATATGCGTCAGTTAGAGCCAAACATATTTCAGAAGATCCTTAATAGGCGTGCTATCAACATTCAGTATCCCAAGGAAGTAGGACCCAGCAGGAAATCTAATTTTCAAGGTTTCGGCAGGAGTTTTGTCTTTATCTCTGCACCTAGGTTTTTTTCTTTCTCCAACGTGTCTATTCTATATCTGTGAACTTCCAGGCCTGCCAAAAGTGCTTATATCCTGAATCCAGCAAGGTAATCAGGCAAGTCAAAAAAGCCTCTACTCAATTTTCCCAATATTTTCTTAGGTGTGACTGGCAATGACTACTACATGAGCAGCTTTGATTCCTTGTTTCAAATGGAGGTGTGTTATCAAGATCAAAGTGTGGCTATGCCTATACCTCTTTGGCTCAGTCGGTCCTCCCCACACTGCGTGAAGTTTTGCAGGTTGAATTCACTGGCGGTGACCTCAGCTGATAGCAGTGATTCCTTAGTGGGGATGATATCCGAATTCACCAGGTCAGCCTTAGTAACTAGTTGACTCAGACTTTAAGAAGACGTGCAAATTTACCAATTCCAAGGGTCATTTTTCATGTTATTATGTAAACAATGTAACCATGAAAGGCGACTCATTGTAGTATTGTAACGACAGAAGAAAAAGGCAAGGAAACAGGTCGTTTATTTTTTTTTTAGATTTTTTTTTTTAGATTTACAGCTTGATTCCACACTGTATTTTTGGTACAAGTATGGAATTTTCAGCATGGATATCGGTAGCCCAAATTTCGCAGGCCGACCATGGATATCAGGTGTGCGCCGGCGTGGGCTCGAACCCCGGATCATGTGCATGGTCGGCGAACGTCCTAACCACTGTGCCACCGACGCATTAAGGAAAGCAACACGAAATATATACATTATATGTTGTCAATGGAGTTGAAGATTGAACGATCAATTCTTGGTTGTTTGCTCAAAATCAACTTCCCCAATTTTCGCGGAGGCATCAATACGACAGTCATCGTCTCATCGGTCGCTGTTCAGAAAGAAGAGTGAAACATCGTCAGAAGTAATACAATGATTTATTATTGTAATATTTCTTTTCAGAACTTAGTTCACTTATTCTTTTTATATGTTGGTTTAACAATAAAGAAATCTCAAGCGGCAGATCGGTGTTTTGGTTTTATCGTCCGTTATAACTAAGCGTTTCCGAAACTTCAAAGAACAGCGTGGGCCCGAGCGTAGCGAGAGCTGGGCATTAACGGTTTATGAGACGTGGCTGACAGTTTCTGACGATAGAAACACATCTGGCGGATTCAAACAGTTGGTGACAGTTTGGATAGTTACCGTTCATCTTTCCTGGTGCCGACAAAGTCTACTTTGAACAAGCAATATCTGGAACTTTTTTGGAATTGGGTCAAGTTCAACAATGCCTGGGTCAAAGAAGGGACAAAGCGTCTTAGATGCAAACAGGAAAGTAAGTCATGGTGACTTGTCTGTTAATTGTAACGATGTGTCTGATGTTAAGCATGACATGGTTGATGTTACTGTTTCGCCGTTCAGGGATAATAGGAACATCAAACTCCCTAAATTTGAACCACGGTGTTTCGATGGAAACCCGGCTGATTATTTACAGTTTGTAAAGGAGTTTGAGATTATGCTGAGTGGTATTTTATTAACTGATGAATTGAAGTTAATGTATTTGATGAGATATTGCACTGGAGATGCTGCAAGAGCTATACAGTGTTGTAAGTTTATGAAGCCAAAAGAGGGCTACGATGAGGCTATGAGCATATTACGTCAAAGGTTTGGAAGAACTTCGATGATTGCAGGGAAATTATTCGAGGCTGTTAAAGGTAATGGTGGTCAATTACAGGATGACTCCCAGGCACTCACTGAGTTTTTAGATAATTTGCTGATTTACAAGAATGGAATGATTTTGATGAATCGCATGAGTGATCTCAACTCGAGTTTTATACTAGAAGTAATAGCAAGACGTCTACCTACTCGACTGCAAAGGAAGTGGGTGAAGATAAGCTCCCGTATGGAGGATGAGGGTATCGAGCCAAAGTTTGATGATATCCTGAAACTGGTAAAAGATAGCGTCAATCAATCTATGAGCAAGTTTGCCAGTATATTGAACCTCACCCCTAGAATAGAGCAGTCTGAGGGTAAAACGCAATCACTGATGACGAAAGGGCCTCAGAGTGGTGGATATCGAGAAGGCTCCATGATGTCCAGTAATGCATATAGATCTAGTGAGTGTAACAGGTTTCGTAGTACATCCTCAACAGATAAGTTACAAGATGCAAGGCAAACACGGTTGTGTTTTACGTTTGCAAGAGGTGCATACAAAGGTGAACTGTGAACCAGTGAGCAAGTTCAGTGATAAGCTAAATGTGAAATCCAGGTCTGACTCCGAATTGTGTGACGATAACGGTGCGGTGAAGAAGTCTGTAGTTGCAACTGCTAAGCCATTGTTGAATAGAGTGTCACAGAATAGAGTTGCTGCTTCAGAGTGCAGTTCTGACCCTACATGTTTACAAGGTATTACTAGTCAGAGTGAAGTTATAAAACCATTTAGGATTTACGAGCAGGAACCAAAATTGTCTACTTCTGTTATTAAAGAGTTTGAAATTGATGAAGTCGACCAGATAGATGATGATAAATTGAATATTCGGGATAATGATCATGATACTTCACATTTGTCTTTGGTTGATCATGATGAGATGATAGATATGCCTACTACTGCTGAGTTGAACAAAGTTTCTGTACAACTTGAACGTGAAGTAGAAATAAATGCAGGTGCAGTTGCAGAAGGCATGGATACTTGTGAGACCGTCAGTGTGAGTGATCAGCATGTAGCCCACCTATCATCAGATGATAGTGCTAAACCTGAGCTGATAGCAAAAGACAGCAGTGGTGGTGTTCTTGCAGGTAGACAAATTTCTGAAAGCCGAGCAACAACAGCTTTTGATCCACCGCTAACTTCATCAACTGGTATCAATCGGTCATCGTTGGTGTTGTCATCCACAATGAAACAGACACCCATCAACTCAAGTATCTTGTGCAATGACTATGCTAGTATCAGTTCGTTTGAAAGGACGAATATCAATGGTCAGTTTAGTGAGGATAAGCCAAGTGTGTACGAGAGGGTAATTGTCAAATTGACTTCCATGAATAAAGGCATTTCAGGTTCCAAGTCACTATTTGAATGTTATTATCTTTGGTGTAAATTACTCTGTATCCAGGCTTAGTTGATCAGATATGTCGTGTGTTCGTTAGTCATCTATATTCTACGATACAATGACATGGGTGTGTTACTGTTCAGATTTGAGGATATAGATGATAGAAGGAGGTCAGCAAATGAACTCTGCGACGATTTTTCAACCTAGAGCGTCAACCTGAGAAGGGTTGTAGGCGTACTGCTGTAAGTCCTACAGTTCCTTTAAGGGTAGTTTGTCATGCCAGAATCCACAACATTTGATGTATTGATTGTACATATGTTTGTG